ATATAAGACTTTACTTTTAGCTAGTGTCATGCTTCTTTTCAGCTTTTAGCTAGTTTACCACTTCTTTTAGCGTTTAGTCAATGTCCTGCTCTGATTCTTCAGTTTTTAGCTAGTGTTTTGATTCTTTTAGCTATGGTTCTGCTCACTGTAGCTAGTGTTTTTCTTCTTTTAGCTATGGTTCTGCTCACTGTAGCTAGTGTTTTTCTTCTTTTAGCTATGGTTCTGCTCATTGTAGCTAGTGTTTTTCTTTTAGCTAGTCTTCTGCTCATTGTAGCTAGTGTCTTTCTCTTTTAGCTAGTGTTCTGCTCATTGTAGCTAGTGTTTTTCTTTTAGCTAGTCTTCTGCTCATTGTAGCTAGTGTCTTTCTCTTTTAGCTGGTCTTCTGCTTATTGTAGCTAGTGTTTTTCTTCTTTTAGCTAGTCTTCTGCTCATTGTAGCTAGTGTTTTTTGTAGCTAGTGTTTTTCTCTTTTTAGCTAGTCTTCTGCTCATTGTAGCTGGTGTTTTTCTCTTTTAGCTAGTTTTCTGCTCATTGTAGCTAGTGTTTTTCTTCTTTTAGCTAGTCTTCTGCTCATTGTAGCTAGTGTTTTTCTTCTTTTAGCTAGTCTTCTGCTCATTGAAGCTAGTGTTTTTTGTAGCTAGTGTTTTGCTCTTTTTAGCTAGTCTTCTGCTCATTGTAGCTAGTGTTTTGCTCTTTTTAGCTAGTCTTCTGCTCATTGTAGCTAATTTTTTCTCTTTTAGCTAGTTTTCTGCTCATTGTAGCTAGTGTTTTTCTCTTTTAGCTAGTCTTCTGCTCATTGTAGCTAATTTTTTCTCTTTTTAGCTAGTGTTCTGCTCATTGTAGCTAGTGTTTTTCTCTTTTAGCTAGTCTTCTGCTCATTGAAGCTTGTGTTTTTCTCTTTTAGCTAGTCTTCTGCTCATTGTAGCTAGTGTTTTTTATAGCTAGTGTTTTGCTCTTTTTAGCTAGTCTTCTGCTCATTGTAGCTAGTGTTTTGCTCTTTTTAGCTAGTCTTCTGCTCATTGTAGCTAGTGTTTTGCTCTTTTTAGCTAGTCTTCTGCTCATTGTAGCTAATGTTTTTCTCTTTTTAGCTATGGTTCTGCTCACTGTAGCTAGCGTTCTGCTCATTGTAGCTAATGATTTTCTCCTTTTAGCTAGTGTTGTGCTCATTGTAGCTAATTTTTTTCTCTTTTTAGCTAGTGTTCTGCTCATTGTAGCTAGTGTTTCTGTTTTTAGCTAGTGTTCTGCTCAATGTAGCTAATGTTTTTCTCCTTTTAGCTAGCCTTCTGCTGCTTTGTATCAGTCTCTGTAAAGCTCACAGGTTTCTCCTGGCAAATGTCCAACTTTAATGTTTAAAGGTGAGGTAACTTGGTCTCGAACCTGCAGCCTCAGGATTATGAGACAGCAGCACCGACCACTGTGCCACCATGTAATGAGAATAAAGCTGTATTTGATCAGTGGGAATATCTCCTGAGAAAATGTTGTTTATCATCTATTTTTCCCTCGTCTTCGTCTAAAAGCTGTAATTTTCCTGCCACGGTTCTGTTTTCTGATCCTCCCTCTCTCCTGTGTCTCTCACAGATCCAGACATGGACCAGGTCTTGTTTCTCCTCGTCCTCTGCTGTCTTCCGTCCCTCGTCGTGCCCATCCATAATTCATCATCTGGAGGTAATTAGTGTTTATGTTAACGGACAGCAGGAGCTCTGCTGAGCGACCTGAATCACACGATGTAGTTTGTTCAGTGAGGCGAGCGGAGCTTCGGCTGATACCTTACTGTGACGCTGAAGACGGATCTCTCACTTTGTCCTCACGCTGTCCTTCGTCTTCGTGTCTTTGTCTCAGGCTGCAGCATCATCCGGCCTCCGAGGGACGGGGGGATCCGCTACAGAGGGCTCACACAAGAAGAGGTACGCATGCTAATTATCTGCTGATTACAGCTGAGAGTGAGGACAGATACTTCTTTAGCTAATTATTGAGCAACGAAAACAACAATAAAGCCGAAAAACTGCAGTTGTTTAAATATTTGTGTTTATTAAAACCTGCCTTCTGATCAACGGCTTGAATGACAGCTAAAATACAGCTGATGCTGAGAGACGAATAACTGCTGAAATCTGCTGAAGAAGCTTTAAGCTAAAAAAAAAATCAGAACAAAAACTAAACTGTAGCTAAAATGTACAAGGAGCACAATGAAAAGCTATATGAAACAGAATGATAGCTAAAAGCTAAACGTAACAAAACAATAACTAAAAGTTGGAAGTGTCTGAATGATAGCTAAAAGCTAAACGTAGCAAAACAATAACTAAAAGCTGGAAGTGTCTGAATGATAGCTAAAAGCTAAATGTAGCAAAACAATAACTAAAAGCTGGAAGTGTCTGAATGATAGCTAAAAGATAAACATAGCAAAACAATAACTAAAAGCTGGAAGTGTCTGAATGATAGCTAAAAGCTAAATGTAGCAAAACAATAACTAAAATTTGGAAGTGTCTGAATGATAGCTAAAAGCTAAACGTAGCAAAACAATAAC